ATTAATATCATCTTGATCGGATAGTTCCTCAGTCTCTGGCTCAATTTTTATTCTTCGTCTTCTGGCTTTATCAGATTCCTGCTCGGAATCAACGTCCTCTTCATCCTCATCCATTACCATTGAGTATAATATCATTTCTTCTTCTTGTAAATAATCTGCTCTGTATTTACCTCGATCTTGGGTACTCATATTTTCCCATAAATCCAATAAATATGCTTTTATATCTCCTTCTGTAGCTTCTGGGTCTAGCTGTTCTGCCATTTCTTTATTACGTTCACAAAAAATTTCAAATACACCTTCTTTTCCCATTTTTTTATTTCTAAATTTTCTTGAAATGGGAGCTTCATCACTAGAATCTTTATGACTTGATGGAGGAGTTGGAGGAGTTTCTAAACTTACATTATTTTCTACTGTAAGCTTATTTTCTATTCTTTCTTCTATCTCTTCAACTTCTTCGACCTAAGAAATAATAATCAATATTGAAAGTATTTATTGATTGAATTTCCATCTATAAAAATGTATTATTCATATAAGAAAATAGTAAAATATAATTAAAAGTAATTAAATTAATTCTTAAATTAAAACTACGTAATAAAGTTAATTATTTTTAAGGCGATAATGTGAATATATTTTTTATCATAGTCGAATCTTATGTTGAAATTTCTTACTTCTGCTTTGGACTTTTTAAGTGTTATTTCTTCATTTGCTATCCCTTGTTTTCTTTTTTTATTACTTTCATCTGACTTAACACAAGAACCTACTGACTTATTTAATGAATCTTTCGTATTATTTTTAGGCCTAAAAAGTTCAATTCTTGCTTCAACACTTTTAGCCATAAACCCAGATGCTTCTGCAACAGCATCATCCCATTTAAGTTTCATTGATGGCTTGATTGAATACGCAGCAGCATGTTTAGGATCTTTTTTTTTAATATCAGGTGTTATTTCTTTACTTCGTCTTTCAAAGTCAGCAATTCCAAGGAAAGGTATTATATTTGAAAATGGTACCCAGCTGTGACGTCCCTTGTCTGCACAGTACCGAACATGTACCCAACAATGCTTAGTTTTATGATTACCTAAAATAATTATAATTTTTAAACTAATTAAATCTTAATTAAATATTCAATTTCATACTCAGTATTGTCATTAAAAAACATTATAAATATTATAAAAATATCTGTAAATTTTACTAAGAACATGAAAATAAGATATAAGTTTTTGTTTAAACACTTACTCTTTAATTTACTTACAAATTTTTAATAACATGTACTTATTTATTAGAATTATATTTTAACGAGTAACTAACCTTTGGTAACAAATGTGGTTATATTTATCAACTCTGAACTAGAGCTTCTGTATTAAGCATAATTATATATTATGAAGACTCATTTTAATCTTAATTTAGCTATTATTTTTCTTAAATTAAAATTTCAGTATTTTCCTTGAAAATGGCAGTAACATTAGATGTTACATGTACTAAAATTATTATTTTATTAAAAATCAATTACTGTTACTCAGTTGGTAATCTACATTTTTATACTCTCTTGGTATAAATAGGAACTAATAACATTTGGAAAAATATATAGTAATAATTGAAAAAATTAAACATTATTTCATATTTACAAATAAATTTATTTAACAATAATAAATACAAAAATATTATTTTTGTAGTTTAAGTTTTAATTTTAAAAACATAAATATGATTTGTGTACACATATATATTTATAAAAACTATCCTTTTCATTTTGGATAAATTTTATAAAATGTAATATATACAAATATATAATTTGAAGTTATTAGAACATATTTTATTTTATTTATATTCAAACACTGTGATAGCAATATATAATTTCGTAATATAAAAATATAGTAATAAGTCAGAAAATATAATAATTGTTATATTAAATATTTTTAATCATACAATTACAGCTGATTGATAAAATATATTTCATAATTAGAAATCATTTAATATAACATTTAAATAATAATTTCATGACAAATTAATAATTTATACATATTGATTTTTTTTTTGAAATAGCAGAAAGTAAAAAAGATTTGTATAAATTTTCTTTTAATGTACTTAATTAATATAATGCATTTTTAATAATTAATATATAATTGCATACTAACCTTTCAGTGATAAAAATGACATGGTAGATGGATCAAGTGTAACGACACCAGGCCAGAAAGGAAAGCTACCTATTTTGGCCCAAACAAGTTGTCCCAGAGTCCATGGACTTTTTGCTTGTAGATCTTCAATGCTAATTATTTCTTCCTTTCCTTCTTCTTTTACCAAGCCATTAAAGCTGTTATTAAAATTTCTTTGCATATTTATAGTTTCTTCTATTGTAATTTCGTTTTCAATAACTTCTTGTTTTATGTTCTTTGGTACTTTTAAATTCTGAAATATTTCAATATGATATTTGGTTATATAATATATATAATTATATTTAAACTTGTTGAATTATTTAATAATAGCAAATTAAGAAGCATAATAATATTGTAAGATAAGTTATTTTAAGTTACAACATTTATAATCAAATAAAAATATATATTACTCTGCAAAAGAGACAAGAACAGCAAATAGGAGCAAATAATCTTAGCAGTATATTTTTGGTAATATTGCTTTAAAACTGTTTTCACATTGTTATAATAATTAATTATCTTATCTTACTTGTTGTACTTTTGAGTTTTATTGGCAGAGTACACTAAAGTAACCCAAAAGGTATCGTTAATATGATTACTAGCTTATAATTCATTAATGATAGAATTTTTAAGCTATACATGCCTTTGGAGAGTCAAGTATTACAGTACTAGGAGACTTAGTCTTAACCATTCTACCATAGCGTGTGACACCCGAAGACAGTCTGGATAAGGGTGAGCATGATTTACTTTCATTTTGATCAATTGGTACATTCTTTTGTTGTTCTTCGGTTATTGAATAATTTTTTTTTACATCATCTTCCTCGTGGGAATTCATCATTAGAAGTTAGATCACCTTGTCATAAGGAATTCATGTAACCGAGCGTGCTTGGCTTGATCAAGAGTGTGCTCCTAAATGTAATTGAGGCTAATTCACTAATGTAAAGAGACTCGATCTATGTAATTTAAACTAGATACTCCGAATATGAGCTGGCTTTTTAGAAGATAGCAGCAGTGCATTTTCTTAACGTCCATTAAAT